ATTTCATGAAAATTCAATTTTTTTTTTTTAATGAAATTTAAAATTATCGCTTTTGGTCACTTTGTGAACAGAGAAAAATTGACATTTTTCAAAGGTGGGTGAAGTTCGTAAAAGGGTGAAACGAGATCGTTAAAAAAAGAATCCTTACGTTGTATTCTTTCCATTTCTCGTAATTCTGCCTCATATGCCCCACCATCTCCGGCATGTCGATAAATGCTGAAAAAGAAAGACAAAACGCGTGTTACATTATCCTCTGCGAGAGAACTAAACATTGTCTGTACGCGTATAGAAACAGAGATGCATCGCACTAACCATCCCACGCTTCGACCATGTCGTTGATGATGAAATCGACGAAACCTATTTGTGCTTTCGGTATCGAGCATGTTAATCTGTCGAACATCGCCATTTGTACCGGCAGTTTTAACTTCTTCTCTTCGTCGGTCTGCGATCAACGAGATAAAAAGGGTAAATTTTGTGAATCCTTCGAGCTATTTTTAACAGAAACTTTCTCAATGTACAGAATATATCTTTCTAACAATAAAGTGTAAAAGGTAACGAAAATTTTCTGATCGTTTGATCTCTTCTGGTACCATTGCAAGTCATTTCTAAACGACCCTTCAGAAATTCCCACTTTGTGACACGTCTTCAGGATCTATTCAGCACGAGAGAAGAGAATTCTCTAAACTTTCTAGATTATAAACTTCGATTTCTCTCTGATATCTAAATTTCTCTAAATATAGTCTAATAATAAGCTGAAAAATAACACTTTGCTACGCTCGTGTCCTAAACTGCTGCCTTAACTGTGTATAGAAAAGGTTGAGAGAATTTAACCCTTTAGCTGTGGAGTTAACGTTAGATCGACTATGAAGTCGTCTCATAAGTTCGTATCGAATTTTATAATTTTCGACAAACCTTCAAAATTTGTCAGAAAGAAAATTTAAGCGCCTTCTTGTTCCACAATTTTCTCATACTTTTTTTTTTGGTAAGACTGTCGTCGCTGCAGAATTTCCTTGGATTTTCATGGAAATATTTCTCGCTTATGGGATCACCTAATGTGTATGTCGTATTAAC